CTGCAATTCCCTCAACCCTCTCATGCATTCAGTCATAGAACCTATACTATACTTCACATCTATCTACTGCCCTCCATTACCACTAGTGACCTCAGCTAAGTCCTTACAGAGCCACACTCAGTACTCAGAAGCCCTCTTACCTGGTCTTTTGTGCTTCTAATTTTACCTTCTTCCAACCAGGTCTGTTGTTACTATAGAGAACTTTCTAAAATTCAAACCAGATGATCACTGCCTCACTCACACTCTTTCTGTATTGCACTCCATAAAATACCAGGCTGAAATCCCTTCTCATGATCACAAGGCCGTCCTGATATGGCCTCTGTCTCCTTGTTCAGCTTCATCACTTTTGCTCTCAGGTTATCTCCAGGCTTCAGGGAGAAAGCCTGTCCCTCAGGACCTGGCTATCCCTGGACATGCACATCTTGTAAGTCTTGAGCTCACTGCCCATGTCTCCACTCATCCTCCAAAACGAAATTCAAACCTCCTCTCTTTGGAACAGGATAGCTGCCACTCCTCTGTAACCCCATAACACTTTTATTTACAAGATCATGGAACAGTTTTTGTTTTCACGGCTACATCCTCTACCAGCATATGACATTCTCAAAAGAAAGGGATGCCTTTTATCCATCTGTGTGTGTTGTTACTTATGCAGGAGTGGAAAGAAAGATGGAAGGATGGATGGCTTAGTGGTGATTAGAAAGATGTAAAAGTGAGTATAGAGGTGGGTAGATGGAGAAATGAATAGATGGACAGATACCAGCTAGACAGATGGAGAAATGAATAGATAGAGGGATAGAAAGTTGAATGGACATATGGATGGATAGTTGGATGGATGGTAGAATGGTTGGCCAAATGGGTGAATTCAACAAAGCTTTTGTTACATACCCATGTATGTCAGGAAGGCCCCCAGCTTCACAGTTTAAGCTGAAGAGCAAGTAGGACTTCGCCACTCAGCAGTCAGTGAGATTTTTGACCTTGATGTTCTCCACAGTATTGTTAGTAAAGCTAAGAAGCACTTTTGATCCTAAAGGGAGAAGGGACTCCTGGATAGGCTTTATCTTGTGGTTGACCTAGCCCATGTCCTCTTTAATGACCTCTTAAGTTCTCTCATCCTGTTAGTCCCATTGAGTTCTATTCATCTGCTTGAACTGCAGCTGGAGATTTCTACCTGTGCAACCAGGGTGACATAGCAGCAGGTGGCAGGAGTGCCTCAGGGCACTGCTCACTCTCCCAGCGTTACCTGTTCTTCTCACAGGAGAACCGAACATTGTATTCCATTCATTTTCCTATTTACAGGCTGTATTTATAGCAGGCACATGGAAAACGTACTTATGAACCTTGGAGCGCTCGTTGGCTTTTTAGGGAACACTTTCTAGGCCCTCCCTGTTCCCTAAGTCTACAAGAGTAAGAGTTGGAGTGATCTGGAATTAGAATATCAAGCTCCTGATGTGGAGAACCAGCATGTGACCCACCCAAGCTGAAGTGAAAAGACCCAGAGGCTTTGAGAATCGGAGCCCCCCTGGCCACCTCAAATCCTCATTCAGGGTTTATGAAACAGCAGGCAGTGCACAATTGGCTAAATTTGGTTGCATTTCTTATTATTTTTGTCCAGCCACAAAAACTGGCAAAGAAATGAAAATGATTCCTTCCCTTCTGGGAGTCCCAGAGCCAAGTTTGTTTTATTTTTAACTTTAACTTTGGCTTAGGGCCTTTAGCACACTAACCACCCTATCTACTGCAGACAGTGGTAGGCCAGATTTTAGAATTTTTGCCTAGACTCGAGCATTGTGTCGCTGAATGTAACTCTTACCAGGCTTTATACAGCTATGACAATAGAGGGTGTTTCCAGACAGACCCATATAGAACATAGTTCTTGCCTTGGGACTGCCAAGAGAGTCCTTTTCAGGGAGGGCAGTGAATGTAAGAGGGGCCATTGTCTGGGTCAGATTGGAGGAGTTGGCATGCCAGGAGGAAAAGAAGCAGAGAAAAAGGTTGAAATGGAAAGGGACAGGAAGCTGTCATTAATTGAAGATTTTACGTTCCATGGTGGTTCAGAACCAGGGCTTGGGAGCCAGGCTGACCATGATTTAGTCATGCAACTTCTTGTCACTGACACTGTGGCCTCAAAAATGTGCTTGACCTCCTGCTTTGAATTTCTTATGTAAGAGACAAGAATCATAACAATACCAGCAGCAGGCTCCACGGCAGCATAGGTCCTGCTGGGACAGCGTAGAGCACACTGTTTGACATCTAGGTAGGACTCAGTCATTATTATTCTGGTTGTGACTTCCAGGCTCTTCCTGCAGTGCTAAGTACTTGTACATGCACTGGGGCAGTTAAAGCACATTTTAAGCTAAAGAGATAGAATAATTTTGCAGTTGGAAACCTGGGGCTCAAGTGTTAGGTAAGTTGTTCAAGGTTATACAAGAACAGCATGATACAGCTAGACCTGAACTCAACCTGGCTAACCCTGAAACACCATGCCTCTTCCAGGACCTGTGGCTTCCGCCGTGATTCAGGGACTTACCATTGACCACATGAGAGCCACTTGAAACCAGGACCTGGAGTCCACCTCTTGCCTCCTGGTTCCCCTTCTGTGACATTAACTTATGAACAGAGGACACCGGTGAAGGTCAAAGAGCAGAAAACAAATTCATGGAGCCAGAAGCAGAACAGCAGTTACCCCAGGCTATGAGAAGAAAGGTGGGAACTGCAGCTTAAAGAGTACAGAGCTATAGTTTTGTAAGATGAAAAAGTTCTGGAGTTGAGAGCTGAGCAGGAAGAAGAGATCATCTCACCCAATTTTTTTTTTTTTGATAGTGAAGTTTTATTCATACGCTCAAAAAAGACATAAAATAAGGGACAGAATGAGTCCAAAGTTGGCAATGAAGGAATTTAACCTTAGAATTCAAAATTCTATTGAATATATAT